ACAACAGGTGAAAAACGGCATCAGTGTACGTCATACTATTAAGATCACTGACGCTATTTCAGTCAAAGAGGTTGCCATGTAAGAAACTTAAGTTAACCCCAGGAAAGTTTTCTCACCTAAGGAACCTACTCTGTTACTTCTTACCTTTTGTTACGGTTACCAGAAAGTCAACCACATTTGATTCTCAATAACAGGAGTTATGTTAATCTTTATTCTTCCGTCTTATAAATATATAACATACCTACTTCTATCATACACCTTGTTTTTACTTTAAGTACTCTAAGCTTTTCTTAAGGACTGGCAAATAATACATTTGTGCCGAGCATGGTGTCGTGCCCACTCAGATTCCCCTCACTGCCCCAGCAGCTGGGAAAGCTGGGTACTGAGCTCACCTAGGCTGCAGAGCTGCTGGGAGAGACCAGCTGAGTGCCAGGCTGATGGAGGTGGGGCTAGAAGGCCCAGCTATTTCAGACCAGTTCCACACAACAGAGCTCCCTGGGGACTTGACTGGGGTTGTTATCAAGCCCACATCACAGCTGACTTCTCCCAGTGTCCCCTCCTATTTCCTTCCTCTCCCTTCCACAGTGTTGATCTCAAGGGCACTCCCTAGTAAACATTCTGCACACTAACCTCTGTCACAGAGCCTGCATCCCAAAGAACCAAACCTGTGGCAACATTTAACCAGATAATTAAAACAGAAAAGACACTGGGGTAAGGGTATTATGGAAAACGTGAGGATACACACCAACCCTGGGGCCAGATCACCTGGGTGAATCCCATTCTGCCACCTCTTAGCTGTGTGTCTTAGCGTGGCTCTCCATGCCTGGTTTTTCATCTGTAAAATGGAGATAATCAGACCACTTATCTCAGGGCTTAGATAATGAGAAGTAAATAAGCCTGTGTGGGTGTCGGGGCCTTATGAAGCATCCACTATACCCCAAGTGCTTTTCTAAGTGTGAGGTCAGGCCCACCTAGCCAGAGGGGCCTCTGGGCTGGGTCTGCTCCCCAGCCTGCAGGCTCAGTTACTGGTGTCGGCCAGGGTGTGCTGCAGCCTGAGTGTTCACAGAAATAGGCCCAAGCAGGGCTAGCCTGGGTGAAGTCACGGGCGTGTGCCATATGTGGGTGCTAGGCTGCTCCCTCCCAGCCAGCACAGCTGCATGCATTGACAGTAACACCCACGTCCCCATATATATGCTGAGCTCAGGGAGCCCATACCCTCCACACCCACTGTGTGCCCTGCTTTTCCTGAACCTCTTTTGGTGGAGGGAGGGACCTGAAGCCTAGGATGCTGGTTCAGCAGTCCCAGGAGGAAATGGGGCTCTGTTCCCTGGCAGCCGGCTGAAAACGGGTTTCTGGAGCATCCAGGGACAAACGCAAGGAAGCTGGGGTTGCAAGTTGGGAAGCTCTCAAAAACTGGAGAAACAGATTTTAAAAGTGCATCACAACCCACAGGCTGCTGAAGTTGTCATAAGAAGCTCAAGAAGACTATAGCATTCAGGAGAAAGACTCCTGGAAACGTGTTTAAAAATAAACTGGAAAGGTGGGGCCTCCCTGGTGGCACACAGGTTAAGTCTCCACACTATGGAGATCGGCAGCTGCTGCAGCATGAGTTCATTCTCTGGCCAGGGAGGTGGCCCACACGGCACAACAGACCTCTCCTGACCCACCTGCTGCTCCCCTCAGCAGGGGATTTCAGTAGATCCACCTGTTCCTCTCACTGCCACTCCCGCCCTGAACCTCTGGCCTATATTTCAGTTCTTGCATGCATAAATAATAAAAATAAATCTTTTTAAAAACAATAAAACGCCTCCCTGGCAATGGGTGAAAACCCAGCACTCTGAAGCTATTGCAGCCACTGAAACACACACCAGGGAGCTGACCCACATGGCGCAGCAGCCCTCTCCTGACCTGCCCGCTGCTCCCCTCAGCAGTGCATTTCAGTACATCTGCCTGTTCTGCTCTCCATTTTCAGTCTCTGCTGAGTCCTTTCACCCCTTGCACCTGCCTGTACCCCAGATCTGTATGCATAAATTAATCTTTAGAAAATAAACAAACTGGAAGGGGACCTCGTTTAGTCCCCACGTCTCTTCCTAGCCTCATGGTCACAGCCACCACCCCCAACAATCCCTTACGTAGTAAACTCTAGCTGCAAAAACCTCGGGATTTTGTAAATGTGCTCTGCCTAGACAGTACTTTTCTCCAAACCACTCCTAATAATTCACCGGGTCCTAATAATTCATCAGACCCTCTACTCACATCCTTTAGGCCTCTGCTGAGGTCTTCCTGCTCTATTAGAGGGGGTGTAGGTCTCCCTAATGTTTTCTCTCAGAGCGTTTTGTTCTCTCCCCTGCAGCCCTCATTGCACATTGAGTGTTTGTTTACTGTTTAAATCCCTGGAGGGCTGCTTCTGGGTTTCTCATTATCCCAACTCATGGCCACAGTGCCAGGCACAGGGAGGGACCTGCAGCGGCCGACCGCTTTAAATTCAAGCTAGCCCAAGTCACACTGTATGGACACCTTTTGCTGCCTTCCCTGCACCCAGAGCCAGGCAGGCCTCGGGCATCTCCTCACCCACACTCATTAGCCAGCCAGCTTCTGTGCCTACAGGATGACATCAACCACCAGGCTCTACTTAAGCCAATGGCTCTCTTGTGACACAGAAAACACAGGTACTCAGATAGCCTTGGGCTCAAACTTGTGAGTTATGTGGCCTTGGACAAATTGTAGGACTTCTCTGAATCTCGGTTTCCCCCTCAGTAAATACTGAGGCACTACTCCTCCATTAGAGGGCAAGCATGAAGGTCAGGTGGGACCATAGGTGTAAGCCTTGTAGCCTGCACACAGGTGTAAGTCTTTAGCCTGCACCTAGGGTTCCTCCCCCTTCCTGTTTCCATCACTAGGTGGCAGTCCACCTCGGCACTTCACCTCCTCTGAGGTGGCTGAAGCCTGCCAGCACAAACCATCTCATCTTCACACTTCTTGGGGCGGCATTTAGACAATCAAAACAGACATACAAGTTACCCTAACAGCAAGACACATCACCGGTGGCCCCAGAGACTATAGTTACCCCCAGCTGGGGAGGTTGCTTGAGCACCCACTTTTACTTGCTCACCCATTCCAGGAAATCTGGCTCTTTCTCGGTTTTTCATTGGGCTTCTCCTCTCTGAAATGCAGTGAAGTGGTTCTGTTCTGTCTGGTTCACCAACTTTCAGACAGGCAGGCTCCTCTGGGACAGCAGCTGTCCTCAGTTCAGTCTGTGCTCTGTGACCCAAGGAGCTTGGGCTGCAGGGGTGAGTATAGGGAACAACTTCAGAAAGACAGTGTGAATTAATCAAGGAACCACAAGAGGCCTTGTGGAGGCTGAAGAGGTGTTGAGAGATGAAGTCAGAGAGACAGGTGGTTGATCACATAAGGACGGCTGGACCAGGTGCAATGGGAAAGTCATGAAGGGCTTGAGGCCTGAGGCAGGGCGCTGTGATTTCATTTCATTTTAAACATGAAGGCACGGAAAATAGATGCAGGTAAGACAAACGAGGGTAAACAGACTGGCTGTGCAAAGACGTTGGCTTGTATGTGGACTGGAAGGAGTGAAGTGATGAGCGCCGGTGGCCTACAGAGGCACTGAGTTCTGAGATCCTCCACCTGAGAGGAGTTTGGTGCCAGGTGCTCAGAGTGAAGGCCGGGAAGGGTTTAGGGAGGGAGGCAAGATGCCTGTGTTGAGTGGGGAAGCGGAGCAAGCAGTGGCATGCAGAAGAGGTACAGATTAGGCACTGGGGTGCAGGCCGGGCAGGGTGGAGCGAAACCTTGAGAAAGGTCAGTTCACCCTGGGAACTAGCCCAGGACCCAAACCGGAGGAAGAGAAGTTTCTAAGGCCAAAAGGCAGAGGCCAGAGAGGGAGGCGGAAAACTGGGTGAGAGGGGCCAGGAAAACCGAAGCACGGGAGAGCGCTGTCATGCGAGGCAGATCTGGTCTGAACCCCGCCTGGCCTGGGGGAACTACTCAGTGAGCCGGGGCAGTGGCCCATGCCAGGGACAGCAACAGAGGCCACAGGGGACGGCCGTTCAGGCCTCAGGACAGCGCGGCCGTGGGTCTAAAGCCGTGGACGGGATGCTCGGGCCGACGGTCCGGGCCCTTCGAAAGTCACGGTGGCCGCAGGGGTGCGACGGACGCGAGCCCAGCAGGCTCCAGCACGGCCTGCAGGCCAGTCCCGCACAGCCCGCACGGAGGGCGGGACCGGCCCGCCGTCCATCAGGCCTCGCGGGCCAATCCGCGGGCGATCCCGCCTCCACCTCCCGGGAGAGAGCGCGCGGAGGACCCGCCTCCGTGCCGCCGCGGGAGTGAGGCGGCCCGGCCTGGCCCGGCTCCCTTCGTTGGGCAGCCCGCCCAGGTAACTGGGGCGGCCTGGCGGGCCCGGGGGCGCTCCGCTCCGTCACGCCTCTCCCCGGTCACGGCGAGGGCGGCGCTGGGGAGCGGGGTTGGAGGAGGAATCGGCTGCGGCTAGGCCTGTGCGGGACAGTGGGCTGGGCGGCCGCCCTGCATGTGCGACCGGCGGCCGGCCCGGACGAGGCTCGCCGCGCG